TATTTATTTTTATTCTTATTATACTAATATAATAAACATAATGGAAAAAATGTGTACAATTATTTTCTGACCAAATCCAAATTGTGCAAAACAATACCACCCGTGTACTTAAATATCTCTGTATCGTTGAATAGCCATAATAGACACTGTACTTATTTCAGTTTTGATCGGTGACCATTGATAAAAAAAACTATATTTGTCAATGCTTTGGTGCATATTATAATTATGATTCTTGTGAAGTAATGACCTGTACAATATATATACCATGTATATAGCATGAAGTATATTTACCAAATACTATTAAGGTGCGTGTTGTCGTTAATAATATTATCGGATATTTTTTGTTTTTGTGTCAGTTATTTTAATGGATTGTAATCGTTTTTACATACATATTATTATATAATATATTGAAATGGTAAACAAACACAACAAATCCATTAATTTTTTTTTCAAAATTTTTGTTTATTACAATATTACATATCGTCTGAAGATTGGGTATTGGTAATTATGAAGAAATTTTAAATTAATTTGTTCAAAAAAATTGATTAGAGTAAAATTGAGTTGTTTAGTTTTCAAGAAATATTTCAACCATTTTACGATGCACAAAAATGTTATAATTTTTAAAAACCCTCTAAGAATATAGGATAAACATTACAGTCAATGCTATCTGATCCCGTCCATACTTACTATTTTACTTCTATCGTTTATAAGTTTTTTCAATAAATAATTCTATGTGTATTTATGATGTATATTAAACATACCTAATTAAATTTAAGAGGACGCTATATCTACATTTTTTGATAGCACTAGCTAGTAATTTTTAACTGTTAAAATATGATAAAAACAAAAAACCTAATGTCTTAAGCTAATAACTTAAATTGTATTTACATTATCCAAATAAACAATACGACACAGATAAAGTTCTTCCCTATGCGTTGTGGAATTTTAGTAATTCTGCTATAATTAATGTAGAGGGAGCATAGTTGTCCCAAGCAAAACAGTTTTTGCTATGTTATACATTTGTGAGACGGAGACATTGTAAAAGTATATTACGTGTCTTACAACAAAAATATATCCTCTTAAGTCAGTTAAACTTGTATTAGATGAGTTCGATACTAACATTGAAGTAGGTTATTGTACTTGGTCGATCAATTTGTGAACTCAATGATAATAATGTGTAATATTAGGTGAGAAAATATACTCAAATTATTTAAACTTAAGGTTTTAGTCTTCTTTCTTCTTACAAATAGTTCGTACTTATATTAATTTTTCTAAATTAAACAGACATAAAATAAGACTTAATTTTATATTCAAATAAATTTTTTTAACCTTATCCAGCCTTGACTGTCAATTTGATTTATGTTAAAATTATCAATATTTGATCTACATTTTTAATTATGTTATACATTTAAAATTTAAACATAGGGTGTGTACGATGATTTAGAAGGCTTCAATAATTTATATAGGTATTTGAATAACTTTTATCAGTAAAATAATTTGAAAATTGTATTTGATAAATGTCAATCACAAATTTAAAAAATAATAAAAACAATTAAGTATAGGTATACAAGTATACAACATGACGTTTGTAGTAGTATCTACTTATATCTAAAAGTTAAAATGTAAAATGTTCAATCTTAACGTTAAACATATTTGTTTATTATAGTATACGTTTCAACCTTAATTTGCAATTAAGTTAAACGTATTATGTATTTATGTACATAAATACATAATATTGTACATACAATATATCAGTTAGAGAATTTATATGAATGTCGTTGACCTCAAAATGTTAACAGCACCGGCTACAAATTCCAGTTTTTTCTCATACCTACGTTAAAGACATTTTTCTTTAAGCAGAAAAAAATAAAACCGTATATGATCTACACTTGTAAGGAATTGTTGAACATATAGCTAAAATTGGTTCAAGAAACTTACTACCTGTTTGACTTTTAAGTATATTTGTGAAGAAAATTGCCCATATGTATCCATGCATAGATTTACAACAATTATATTAAAACGTTGTTTCTGGAGTAACCGTTATTCATCTGCAGTTAACATCTACAACAAGATATGGTTCGCTTTTTTATTATTTAGCTGTCATTTTCTTGATGTCTTAGAAAAATTGTCTTTCAATATCCTACCGTGGAAAATATAGGTAACAACTAAAAATGTGTATATGGTTGATTAACCTACATAGTACATACTTATAAGGATAGTCCTTAAATAATTTACAGGACATAAATTGGCAAACTTTGTATGATTTATTTAAATCAGAAATTGACTACACGTCTTAACATTGTTAAAACTTAATAAAATGGTGTTATATATAGACGATAGATATTAAGTAAATATACAAAATGAAAACTACTTCTTAGATTTATATATGAAATATCTTTGCGTCTTTGTGTTAAAAGCGATAAAAAACAATGCATATGATAAAGAAGCAGGTTTTGCGAGTTAAACCATAGCAATGAAGGGACTCTTATTATATTCTTAAGTCCCTCCGCTCAAAAATACTATTAAGACATAAACTATAATATACACCAGTGACCCGTTAACGACGTTATAAATAAACTGATTGTTATATTGCATTTTACAAGGTTTTCTGTCGCTCCGTTTGGTATAATATGAAAAAATGTCGTTAATCTAGTTTCTTTAATTGTATGTAGAACATAGGTGTCGTAATCATTATTTTAAAAAAAAATCTTTATGTAAAAAACCGATTTGTATTTAATACGGAAATAATAACCACAAAGTACATTGTATAATATATATATTTCGCATGACACGTGTGTGTAGTGTGTGTGTGTATCGTAAAATAAGTATTCGTCGGTAAAAATAAGAGAAAAACACGCTAACATTTCTTCACGTTATTCAGATGTATAATATATTATGCACATTTAATATATCTTGCGGTGCATTTTCAATTGATGATGATGGGATGGCTTAGTGCGGTGTTCGGTTGAGTGCGAGTGCGAGTGAGAGAACAGTGTTGCAATGTGCAATGTCGTTTTAACATATAATAAACAGCAAAAAATAGAATACCGTAAAAATCAACTCGACTGCGTTTTACGTATAAACCAAAAACGGACAACTTATCCTCTCCTCTTCTCCCTCGCCATACGGTGCAAGTATCGTCCCATTCCAAGGCCAATGTAAGCGATTCACTGCCAAATTCGGTTAATATGTGTCGTACATTATTCCGATTTAGAAACATATTATGCAGCCGGGGTACTCTTCGTCGTTCTATTGTTTTCTAGTTCTGGGAGTATTATTTTTTATCGTATCAATTAGATTCAGAAAACATAGAAGTACTGTGTGTATAGGTACTCTATATAGTAGCATAAAATAATGTTATTCGATTTTATTTTACTGTATTCGACATAGCTTTGTGGTATGCTGATACGTCTGATGAAAAATAGCTATTATATATAAACCCCCTTGCGTGGACTACTTTAATAAATTCTTTCAACACTTTTGTGTGTAAATAGTTGCTGTTCCTCGTGCTTAAGAAAACTCCTTAAAAATTTTAAAATTATCATTACCCCTCCCAGGGAGACTTAAATAATAATGAGGTTTTCAGTATGCATATAATCATTATGTAAAAATGAATAAAATATTATCAGTAAATATTATTCAAATTTTAAAATAAAACGTTATTACTTACCACGCTTCAACAGTCTTCGGCCAGAGGATTGAAACAATTTTTTGCATATTTCTTTGTGCCATTAACCATACTTACTAAAACTCTTACTCGTCTCTGCAGTTCTACCCCAATAAGTATCCAAGAAAATTCTAATTTTAGATTCGTGTGTACCTTATAATATATTTTATCATAAAAAATGTTGAACCTTAAGTTAAGAGGATTAGAAACGGGGATTTGTCTGTCTTTCTCCAATACTCGAGCAGCATAGGAATTTAGACGTGTTCTATTTCCAGCGTACTGATTAATCTATAAGCGATTAAAACTTCGGAAACATAACTCTAGTATCGTTTCTGGTTAGAAAGTTAATCCAATTGAAGCTTTGAGAAGTCAAAATTTAAAATTCTCAGTAGTTTTAAAACGCGTCAGGAAAACGGAAATTTTTAAGCAAAACCAGTTTTAGACAAAATCAATTGTTTTTTTTGTGTAACTAAAAAACCCGTAGATACATTGTTTTTCATCTAATACTTGTACTACAATTTTCTACACACCATACAATATTTTGATTGGTTTTGAGCTATTTATGGACATTTTTTTTTCTATAATAATCATTAAAAAATAATTCCATGGAATGTGGAAACAGTACACTGTGTCAAACAGCTTGAAAATCTATTACATAAGCCACATACTCTGTTATAATAGCGGTTCAAAAATATTTAAGTTACGTAGTCACGATTTATTTTTTAGTTAAATTTTCGACAAAATTCATCAAAATCTTAAAAGTTAGCAAATTATTTTGTAGTTAAAAAACTATTAAATGTTTGATTTGTATAGCTATAAGGTTTGGAAATTTACAAAGAGGTTTCTGATGCGTAATTCATGCTGTAACCAAAATAATCTATCATGAATAGTTAAATAAATTACTATTTAATACATATCAATAATATCATAAAAATTAAATTTTAACAACATCATCTATTATAGTGATCCACCCGACATCTACTGTACAGCAGAGCGATACTCACTTGCCCGCCTTTTTAATTTTAACTTCATCAAGTGTTAGGTCAATCAGACAATTTCCAAATATAACTTTTTTACGATTTAAGGGAATAAAATCAAAACGTCAATTTCAAGAAAACTTAGATAACAAAAAAATGCACATCCTTTTTCAGAATTATTTTGCTTTACTAAATTAATCTGTTTTTAAAAATAGAACACGTCTAAATTTCTACGTTGTGCGTGTGGTAGACAAAAACAGGATATCACTGTTTCCAATCCCTTTCAAACTAGAGCTTAAGTAAAAAAATATAATGCTGTCGTATATTAACTATAAATAATGTATTTTAATTTTCAGTTCCAGCCGACAGAGTCGAAATTTGGCAGAAAAACACCGACGAAACAAGTTGAATACTTGTATCACAGAACTTTCACAACTTGTTCCACTGATATCAAATTCTTCTAAAAAAATTGAAAAAACTAGTGTTCTTAGACTCAGTGCTGCATATCTCCGGCTAAATCGATGTAAGTCAACCGAATGAATGTTGTGTATATTCTTTCAATTAAAAATATAATTAAAATCACATTGTTTACTAATTGTATTATTTATTGCAATTTATTATTTTCCAGTATTAGAAGCACTAAAAGAACGTCGTGAGAAACTACCAGTTTACTTAAATGAGGTTAATGTGGCTGATCTTCTGTTGGACGTATGTACCCTTATTGAAATAATTCTATATAGTTATAACCTATAGTTATTAATTATTAGAGTATCTTGATTTGTTTTAAGCTGTTATTCCTTATATAAACATTCAAGTAGCTCAATCGCTCTATAGAAAATATCAGTTTAGTTTTATATTGGCATCGTCAAAAACTTAAAACAGAACACAGAAAACCCAATTAATAATAATTGTTTCCCATTCTAAAAAAGTCTTATACACATAATATATTATATTGATATTTTTGTAATTAACGTATTGTAAATTTAATTGCTTTCTTTTATTTCAGAGAAATTATACATATGACTTTAAGGATTTAGAAATATTATGACGTTTAAGATTTAACTATTTAAGTTGTTGTCTGAATCATATCTAATCTTAATGATTATAAGTTATTAGTTATTGCTTATAACCTATATTTGCTACAATATATTTATGTTAATAGAAATCTGTCGAAATATATAGGTACTTCATATAATATGATCTTCAATGCTGCTATATTGAATGTGTATTTATTATTTAATAGTGTTCATTGTGCATCAGACTGTACCAAAAGTTCGTTTTCTAAAAATCTAACATAATGTTATTTTATATTATGCCTAGAAAAAAGTTCCATAATATACCTATAGATGTTATAATTATATCATGTATGTTATATGCATGCTTATTCGAATACTGCGCAAGTATTTATATTATTACTATTTACACGGCATTGGCAGTTATCTTTAAAAATGTACCATGTACACAATTAAAGAAAAAAAACTGAATGACGAGACTTCTTTCTGAACCTCCTTATTACGAACCACTAAATTTACTTCGGATACGGTTTTACAACACATGTTGAATTGCATATTATACGTTATAATATAATATTCAATTTTCCCCTTAGCTTTGTTATTATTTTTATTTTTTGTTCACAGGATAACGATATATACCTCATGGTGACATCAGTTGGAAAAATAGTATTTGTTTCGCACTCCGTGGAGAATATACTAGGCTTTTCACAGGTAAGATATTTTCCATAGGTAAAATTTCTTTTTAAATGTTGATTTTATTGTAATGTTTTAGTATCAAGTTAATTGCATTTTTTTTTTATATAGTTAGATTTGTACATTGTATTTATTATAGATTTGTACATTATATTTATTTTATTATATATAAACGACTTCTTTGAAAAATCAATAAACAAATCACATTGTTTACTCGTTTCGTGCACAGTTCTCAATGAAACTGTATATCATATACCGCAATCCTTATATTAATTTATGTTAAAAAACGATGTTGGAAATCAAGTTAAGTTGCGCTCTATAAATATTTGTGATTTTTTTTTCAATTTAATATCTCAAATATATCTAATTCTCATAAAATACATTAAAAAGCAATAATATCCTTATTAACTTACATCAGTTATTGGTATTCGTTTTACCTTAAGGGTTTTTTTGTTTTTAAGTTGAAACACTACAGTAAGAGCCGGTAAAAATAAACTGATTCTATTCAGAATATTTCTAATTATTTACATTTAAAAATAATAAATTGTATTATCGATTCTGCGTTGTATTTATATTACCGCTGTATGTACATTTATTTACGGAGTCGCATAAGGTATTAATGTACTTTTTGGGGATAAATTATACCGTGTATTTATGTGGGAATGGAATACCTCAAACTTTACTTATTGCACATTTGCACTAAAAGTTGCAGATCATTATTTATTATCGTTTTAAGTAGCTACTGCAGTATAAATCACTTACGATATAAATGTATTTGTAAATTTGTTTACAACAACACAAACATATTATTTACGCATATTCATAATTAATACGTTATTAAATTATTATACTAACCTTGTGTGTAGATATTTATTTGTATTTAAATTTACTTTACTGTATTGCAGTTCCTAAGAAATTCCGCCACTTTTAATGTGTATTTGAAAGTATGAACAATTTTAGTATTATAAAATGATGTGCTATTGTATTAATATTGCACTATATATCATGCACTTACTGCAACATATAATAAATGTTAGAAAACGAATAACTGTATTCCTGCCAAAGTTTAAACAACAATATAGTATACACCTATATATCGCTGTATATAAGTATCTTATCCTCTTCTTCTCATCGAGTTTTATAAAGTCAATACAAAAATATAATAGCTCCGAGCTCGTATCAGTCTTAAGACTACATACAATATATCAACATCGATGTATTATGTTGTTATATTAAATTATCCGATAGAAATGACGCACAACGAATGTCGTTTCCCTCTGTGGTTTGAACAGATTGCTCCTACTTTGTTTTAAAGAAAACGCATAGCGCATACATAATAATAATATTATTGTTATTGTGGTGATGCATTTTTTATCGTCCAAGCCGTTGTTGTTTTATTAGATGCCACGCCGCGCTCGGACTTAGATAGGCAACCGTTTTATCGCTTCACCGCCACCACACTCCCACGTATAATGTCAATTCAAGTATTACCGACTTTTGCGCAGTACGCAGTCGCATCGGACGAGGTTTATTTTTAATTTGCCCATCTCTCTCACGTATTTAATCGCACGCGAAATTAAAGTGCGTTCTAACTGTCCATTGTGTCTGCCGTCATTGCGAAAGTTTACAATAATAACTCAATAGTAATAATATAATATAATAATTATTATCATTATCAATTTCTCATTGGTGCCCCCGATGGACACACGACTCTTTTATTTGGACGTTATTATTTCCAGTTACCTAAAAGTCAAAACCCAACCCGATAATTCTCCGGAAACATTTTAATTCACAATATGGGTTATTTTATTATTGCACCGGCTCCGATGCATGTTATTGTTTAATCATTCTACGGTATAACAATTATAATATTTTGTATTTTAATAAAAATATTTTCTCTCACCTTGATTTTATATAGTGGAAGCGATGCATATAACACTATTGATTTCCCCTCTCACCCACATCAATCCCCACCTCCTCAACCCGCGCAACCGTCATATTATGCACCGGCCAAGGACACCGGTCTTATAATATTATTATTATCGTTGGCCGAACGATAAACACTTTTTGTATACATGGGTTACTCGCACTGCATCCGCTTTAAGTTTTAACCTTATTATTATTATTTTTACATAATATATAATATAATACATATCCTTGAAAATTGCATTCAACCACAAGCATTTAATTACAAATTTATCACAAAGCCCATCATTGTATGTATTTTATTATAACATTAATTCGTGAATAATTATAAAACCTAGGAAGGGTTTTCGAGTTGAAATGCACCCGAACTCATTATAATGTTTATGCCACTGCTGCAGTTCTGCAATTACTTAAAAGTCTCATGTATGCACATTATATCAAGGTCGACCAACCATTATTTCTTCTTTGCTTCGTGCTTTGAATTTACAATAGAGACTTGCAGTTCTTTTTAATATTGTAATACGGTTTTTCTTATTTTTAGATTTTAATTGATTGCGTGTGAGACTAGTTGGCTCGTTCATTGTAGATACAAATCTATATTTTTCACCTATATAGTTATATCATATCGCATTATCGTGCTTTTGCAAATTTCGTGGTTTCTGTTCAATAAATACATTTGTATTTATTTAACTCCTAGCTATACTAATAAATTAATTTATCCATGCATCGGTACTATTAAGTGCACTCGAACAAGCTGAACAAATATTCCCAAATCTTTAAATTTTATCTTTATACTTTTGAACCATATCTTGTTTTAAATCTCACATAGTAGTAATTTAAAAATAATCTTTAGTATTTTTAAAATAATATTTTCTTTTTATTTATTATGTATTTATGTGTTATACGCCCTAAGCTTTCTATTGTATTGTGAAATGCTCTTATACCGATCTAGATATATTTAAAATAGTAAAATATGAATAGTAACTGAACTCCTACTGAGCAGTAATACTAAACTAAAAATTGTGATTTTCCTGACCAAATATCACCAGCTCTCATCTGATTTGATCAAAATAATTATCAATTTCATCTTCCCCTAAATGTCTTTAAATAAATTATGATACTAACTTGTATACCTCAAACTATAATAGGTATATATTTTTTCCATTGACTTAATTGATTAATTATTATGTACCTAACTGTTGAACTCCTTAAACCAATGGTCTATGATGCCGTAAAGACAAATAAAATAATACTTAACTAAAAACTGCAAGTTAACATTCTGTGGATTAGACGTTTTTTTTCTCTTTTTAGTTATCCATTTTAATCGATTTTGAATATTGTTGAGTTATTGATTTAAATTAATTTGATATTTTAGTATTAAATTGCTCTATTAACAACAAATAAAACCGTTTTTCATTCTTGTATTCATTGTAGATTTGGAACAATTCCGCATGCTAACTGTATCATGGGTCACTTAATATCACACGTAGTGTAAAAATCAAGTTATTTTCCTATTATATTTCGAAATTTCTTTTATATTAAGTTTGACATATCGCAGGCTTTTGATTTCAGCTGATTTCCAGGTCTCGTTTTAATCCTATTTAAAGGACCGCTGTTTACCGACTTAAGTGTTAAAATATTTTCTGTTTACCTGATAAACTCGGGTGTCCCGCTATATTGTGCTATACTGCTATCTTATGTTCCTTACTTTCCAATATATACCTAACCTTCTGAACTACCAAGGTCACCTCATATATACTTAAGTAGTAAAAGACACTAAATCCATAAATGAAAATAATCAAACTACTTGTTTATTACTATTAGGGAATCCCCCTCCCCCCCCCCCAAAAAATAAAAATAAAATTAAACAATTCACTTATTTGACCTTTTTGTATATTGTAGAACAACAATACATTCTTTTGTATTTTAAATGTTGAAATACATAAACAATCTTAACTAGCTTTAGTATTAATTTTAATAAACTAAGATAAATTATGTAAATCAATGGTATCTGAACTAAAATATTCCCTTCGTTGAAGATAAAACGTTACAGTTAAGAATGTTGTACATTAATTTGTATGTATGGTTATTATTCATTGTATTCTGCTGCAATTTTTGATTTCTGAAAAATTAATGTAGGTAATGATAACTGTTGCTATGCAGAAAATAAATTTAATCTTTAACTCGTTACGATAAACATCGCGTAATTAGAGAAAATGTAAAGAATTCAAACCATTGATAAAATTATTAAAATATACCTATTTATAGGCGATTCTTACATTTCAAGGAACAAACAATGTTGACGAGTTATGTATTATTTCACGCGTAAAATAAATTGATTATTAAATGAATAAATTATAGTGGTATTTTCATTGCTGCTAATTTTCATTATAATTTAACCTGTGAAAATTGAAGACTAAGAACTGTCAATATTGAAGTTCTGCTGATAGCGTTGAATGTGGCAAATTTGTGCAAATCCCACATGGGGTGTTTTTATGAAAATGTCGGTTCATTAAAATCGGCAAATCGTATTTGTATTTGACCGAAAAATGACATACATATTACCATATTTGATATTATTATGTGTGTGTGTGTATACGGTGTATCATAAAAATAAAAATAGCTTAACATTAAATTTGTATTGTAGATCGATCTCATGGGCCAATCACTTTTTAATTTTGCCTATCCTAAAGATCACGATGAGCTAAAAAAGAACCTCAAGTATCACGGCGAAATATCAAACAGCGCCATTCGTAAGTCTATTGTTCATTTTTAAACTTGCGTAATATGTAGTTTTTAGATATGTTAATTGAAATTGTATAATTCGATCAACATGATGTTTATTAATGTGTAATAATACTATTGCATTATAATATAGTACCTATAATATATAGGTAGCATTAGCCATTAGGTATTTCTCTATAATTACAACTACCACGCATGGATTTGTTCGCGGCCAGTTTTTTTTATTACCAATACCGTTGAAAACCCGTTTAATAGTTATAGTAAGTATAGATATAATATAATATTATGTCTATAGTTATAACTTATAACTCATAAAGTCATAAGACTGAGTCAAGGGACAAATGTATTTATGAGTGAAACGATAAATATTGGTGTTGCAACAATATCGGTTGTTTTTTTTGTTAAATATTTTTTCCATGGAGACAGCGTTTCACTGAAAGAAAATCAAGAGTTCTTTGCAGAGGTCATTTTTTGAAGTACCAGATTTATTCTCAAAGAGTATACAACATTTTATTTCCGGTTTGGTTGTGTAAAACTTTCGAGTTTATTTGTAATTCAATATTTGGCCTTTGAATTTTGATTATTATTTATTGAGTGTCAAGAAGAATTAATTTTTTGAAATTTCGATTAGGATGGAGAAATATCTGCCTTAGGTGGTTAGTGGCTGCAAGTTGGATACTTTAACAAGTCATGTAATGTCCAAAAAGTTGCATACAAGAAATATTTCTTTTTATCTAGTTAAGTTATTAATAATTCTTAATAATTTTTTTGTTTTAGTTGCTACTAATGATCCTTTACTGAATTTTAAACAAATTAGTAATGAAAATTATAAAATACAACGTCGATCATTTTATTTACGGTTGATCAAGAAAGTGGTTTCTCGTGATGAACAACCAGAGTTGGAGCTTGTACATGTGATGGGGACGTTAATGATTCAAAAATCCGATTCAAAAAGTATTATAAATATTATTGTTGTTTTAAAATATATATATATATGAACACACACACGTCCTCATATGCATAACATCGCGCTATGATCACTACTGTAAACCCAAACTTCTACTTCTACATTTAATTAAACATAACATAACATTTTCTTGTAGGTTCTGAAATCACTGAAAACGATATAGTGTTAAATGCAGTTGTCAGGCCATTCAATGAACGACGGGTGACTGAAGTATCAATGTTAGAAGCAACTCGCGAAGAATACATAACCAGACATCAAATTGATGGCCGTATAATATATGTTGATCATAGGTGAGCATTTATTGAATTTCTTAATGTTTATACTGTGTATATTTTAAAATTAAATAACTAGGTGTTGAATGTGTATCAATATTACTTTTATTAATATATCATGTCACAAATGTTTTTATCCACTATCAAATACTTATTATTATATTAATTCAATTTACTGTGGATTATACACCGATAATCATCTATAGTTGATATCAAGAGTCTCAAAATTACAGTCCAGGTCTCACATATTCTGGCCCACCAAATTTTTTTTATTTTTTCGTTAACTGTAATGAATAGATCCAAAATTAACTATTTATATTATCTTGATTATTTTTCATGAATACATATTATAGTTGTAAATTAAATATCAAGCAAAGCTACAGTACAATTTTCTATTTAAGGATAATACAGATTACTAAATTTAAATTACTCTTTATACTTATATAAACAACTGTTATGCTGTAACAACCATTAAAAGCGTGCACTTATACATGACTTCAACATTTTCTAGTGAATAAACTTAAATTATCATTAATGTACCTTTGTTACACTCCTAAACATTCACAACTATATTATATTATCACCAATTTTGAATATAGATAAATTTTTAAACTTTTAATATCATAATAATTTATTTTAAACATAAGACATTCCTAGCCTACGGTTATCTATATCTAGTGATGTTTGACAATTTACAAATTAACAGATTAACTTGATAATTAAGAATATTTTTAAGTACTATGGATAGTTGACAATTGGTAATTTTAGATGCACAGAAGAAATGTGATTACAATAATATTCTGATATTTAAATATTTACAATAATTTAATAATTAATACAGTTCTCCGACATAACAAGAATTTTATATATTTTTTATTTGAATTTAAACTATCTCATATAAAAGTAACCTCAGGCTGCAGACTTCTGTGCACTTCAGTGCTATTGGGTGGGCCAATGTGTTAAGATTTGTATGGTTAAGTGATTTATTGATGAATGTGGTCTGACAAAAATCTGTATCTGTTTGAGATTACCCTTATATGGGACAAAGTAAACATGTTTTTTAATGAATTTTTTAAATAATTCTATAAAATATATTTATAGAATTTCTATTGTATCTGGATTCATGCCTCAAGAAGTATCTGGACAACTGGCATTCAAATACATGCATAAAGATGATGTACGCTGGGTGATGATTGCTCTAAGACAAAGTATATATTTCCATTAACATAATTAAAAATACACAGTAAAGTCTTGATAATCGACACAAATGGGACATTAAACTGCCGGATTATCAAAAAAACTCAATATTTAAACAGAAATCTAGTAAAAATTAAAACCTAGGTATTTATTTTAATTTAATTTTTATTAAGTTACATATTAAATGTATGTAAATATATTATATTTATTTATTAATAATTATAAAAATTGGTTCATGAAAACACTTAGAGATAGACATGATAAAATGAACTAAATCAATGTATGTAGTCTGTACACATAGATATTATGTAAGTTATTAGTGATTAGTACTTAATCATAAAAATGTCTAATTTATACAGTTAGATAAAATTATTATCATCGAAAAGTTTATAATTTTTGTTGAAATTCCAACATTATTATATGAAGATTCAATTTTATACATAGAATTATTAATAGGATGCTTCCCATGCATATGTTGTCTCTGTCTTAGAAATGTTACGACATAGCAAATTTTTTATCTCTAGTTTCAATACTGTGCTGTTAGTTTTAATATTAAAGTAAATTAACCTAAGATCAAACTTTTAAATAAAAACATTATCTTTGCTTAAGCGTCCACAATTTTTTTGATATTTTCATTTTCAAGCAAAATTAATTATTAACAATTAAAAATGCTCATAATATATCGCTTGAAAATTAAAAAATTGAGTATAAGCCAACTAAGCACAAATAATGTTCTTACCTAAAAATTTGATAATATGTCAATTCACTGTAATATCAAAACTAACAGCACACTATTGAAATTGATGAACGGACATTTTGCCATGTGGTACGTGTGTAAGACTGAGACAACTAATGTATGGGTAACGTCCTCTTAAAGCAAAAAATATGGTGGGTTACTAAAGGTGCCGAATTGACCCAGTGCCAGATTATTAAGACCTTACTGTACATACATATTTATTATACACGACATTTTTGTAATAATTGTATGCTTTGTTAGTGTATTTTAAGGGCCAAAGTTTTGGCAGTAGTTGCTATAGATTGTTGTCAAAAAATGGAGAATTTGTATATATGAGAACACATGGTTTCTTGCAATTGAATCCAAATGAGGATACAATTGAATCGTTCATATGTGTTAATACTTTGGTTCCCCCAGAACAAGGAAAAAGAGAACTAATCGAAATGAAAAAACGGTTTACACCATTAATAGTTGCTGCATCTGAACCTGGAATTGCTGCAATAACTAATAATCAATTTGTAAGTGTTCTATTATTGTTGTATCAGAAGTCAAGATGTTTATTGATCTTTATTACAGATGGAAAAAGAATCTACTGTGACATTGGAAGATGTTACTGAAGATCTTAAGACACTAGACAAGGTGGTCGAACAAATGATTATAAATATTCCTGAACCGGCAATGGACAATTTTAAAGTTACTGCAAAAAATCCTGGTCCTCTGCCGGATAACCAGGAGTATATGAGGGTTGCACTATTGTCCAAGTCAATACCTCCAGTTTCGGTAGCATCTAATGCACCAAAAATATTTAAACGAACATCTCTATCCCCTCAGCCCAATGTTAAGCCAGTAACTCAGGATCGGCCATCTGTACTTCGAGTTGCCCCACCAATTTCTCGAAAACCTGTACTAGTTTATAATCATCAAACTTATGAAAAAACTACAGATAAAGAACGAGCTTATTTAGAGCGAAGGGGTGGTATATTTGTCTTACCTAAAAGACAAAATGATTCACAATTAATACTAGATAACTTGCCAAAAAAAGCAAAAATTGTGTTAGACACACAAGTTGAATCTCCTGTCTGTAGCAATTACAGCAACCAACCAGATTCACTGTATGACAATCAGTTAAGCACTAAGGGATGTATTGAAAATTTTTCTAACTTTGAAGATACTTCAATCCAACGAATTTCACACAACATCGATGAATACAATAATATCGGTAATGGTTTATGTTCAAATAATTGGTAGTTACATTTCATATTTATACACATGTTATTATCCTTGAAATATGTTTATTTTATTGGTGTACAAATTATTGACTTAAGTTAAAATATTTTTCTTGTTTTCCTCAGATCCTTTAATGGCTGATGTGACGGATATTGATCATTTTACGGTAATATTTTCTCAAATAATTTAAATTTATTATTGCTATTTGTACTATGTTATATTTATAAAATGTATATATGTATAATTTAAAACCATTTAATGATATAAACATAACATCTAAGTAAAACCTAATTTATTAACTTATAATATTTTTGGTTAATTTACAATTTTAAAATTATCAGATTACTATTAAATTAATTAATTAATTTGATCAAGTTAAAAATATATTATTATATATTATAATATTATGTATGAATATATCTGAATATATTAGAAACCAAAAAGTATTATTAGAAATTGCAGTATACATTTAAAGCATTCAGTTGTGGAAATTTAATTAATGACTATTAAGTACAAGTAAATTGAGAAGAATTGTAAAAAATATGTTTTAAAATATTTCATATGCTTATGAATGATTCTGATATCTGACTAACTATCGTTTTCCATAAATGCATTGTTTGTAACAAGCCAACCTCAACCCTGGACCCTCTTGAAAAAGAAAATAAAAATACTGTTATTCACCATAAAGAATTCAAAATATATAATATAAATGTATGATATTACAGTCATTTTTTTGGTTTTTAATTTTTCATATTTGATTTATCATTTAGTATAGAATGTATTTTTATGTTTTGTTATCAAGTATTAATTTATTAATTATGTTGTCACTCCTAACTATGTATATTTTATATTAATTAATTGAAACATTTTTGGAGGTAATGCTATTGCTATTGCTAAAACATTGAATTGTAGACTGTAGTCTATAATATTGATAATATATAATTTCTTATTAATATATAGAGTGTTTTGTGAAGCTTTACCCATCACGATATCTCCTGAAATAATGGAGGTATCTCTATTCTAGTTTTTTAATATAGGTTTTGGTAAACAAATTGTTGAGTTCATTTTTCTGAAAATATTGATGTTTTATTTATATCCTAATGGTTTTTAATATTTTTTCTAGTTTTGAGAAAAATTGAGGGCCACACTGAAAGCAATTGCCGGCCGTACAAGCATGTGAGCCACATGTTTGATTCCATATTGGTATTAAATAATTCTCAATTTTTCTCGAAAATAGAAAAATTATTAAAAACCAGGGGAATAATGAAAATAAATGAATCTTCAATATTTTCAGAAAACTGAACTACAAAATGGCTCAAATCTTCAATTTTTTTGAAAATAAAATAAAAAAATATATTTTTATCTCTTGTCCCTTTAAGTCTTATTAAAAAACCAGAACTATGATACCCCCATTATTTCTGGAGATATTGCAATGGATAAATCCTCACATGACACTCAATAAAATATATAATTATTTTTTATTTAATTTATAATTTAAGTACCCTGTATATATTATTATTATTATTAAATATTCAGATTACTAATTATAAGCTATAATAATAATTATTCGATAATAATATGATTAAATTTGCATATAAATGCATAATTCTTATCTATCATCATGCACACTGAACTTTGATGCATAACCAAATGCCTTCACAAAATAATATTTTATTTTAATGAATTTATTCTTAAGAGTTAAAATCGTTGTAATATTAATTTGAATTATTTGTTTACCTGATATAGCATATAAATAAAAAATTTTACAATTTCAAAACAAATAAAGAGGTACGTAACTCGCTTTGAAATTGACATAAAACAGTTCTACATATATTTTTTATACTTAGCTAATTATTAGATGTGATTCAAATTGTACTTAAAGTACTAAATAATAAATAACACTATTTAATTTAATAATTTAAGAAATACCTACAAAATATAATATAGTTAAACTCCCCAGTCTATCATATATTTTTCAAACAGTTTAACCCACTTTAATTTCTATCCATTAATATGCAAAGAAAATTTATTTTAATGCTATGTTAGGTTTTACGGACAAAATAAATTTTAAATTGTACAACTATATTATCTATGTATGTTTTAGAAGTGTTGCATAATTATATTGTGTGTTTCAGAAAACAATTGGAGATAACTCTTTGTTCATGGTACCAGATAGTTATGATTCATATATCAAAGGTATTATAATGCTAAATTGTCAAAAATATTATCAAATTTTAAAAATGTTAAATACTTGATTACAGATGTTTATGATGAAGTAAATCCAATAGATATTCAAGATCCTGTATGTTTTATTTAATATTATTGCTTTGTATTTTTTATGTTGTCAATTTGACTCTAAACCATAATTTTAATTTATATTTTAGTTAATTCAAGTCCTGCAACAAAACAGGAGCTTAGAAAGTGCATTGCTTGAGAAAAAGCAGAACACTCTTAAGACAAAAATGGACCAACAACAAGGTCAGCTGAAAGAAATCCAAACCGAGTTAAATTCGCTTCCTTCAAATGCTAACACTAAATCTCTAGCTAAACAATTTTCCCACATAAAGGTATATTGTATTATTGTTTTTCTGGATACTTAGAGAATAATATATATATTTTAATGTTTGATTTAGGATGAAGTTGATCAACAACAACATGCGCTGCATGAACTACAACTACAAGCGTTATGTGAACTACAAGGAGTGCATAAAAACATTGGAGTGTGATTATCAATACAATATTATGTAACTTAATATTTCACTTGAGACACATAATATGAGTGAGTATCTAACTATATGAACATTGATAATCTCTATAAAATGTAGTGGAGGATGGTATTTTCACTTTAGGTGGGGCACAAATATTTTACCTCATCATCATAACAATAATAATAAAATAATGCTTGTTGTATAATGTGCATTATTACAGACAACAACAATTAGAACACTAAAAAAAATAGTATTCCAGCACAATTGGGGATTGTACCCCGCATTTTGTTGTAATTTGTGCTGACAAGTGCAGACTATTGTATACAATACAATATGTAGTTGATCATTGTTATTACCACACCACAGTAGTCTAATGAGTAATGAGTAATCTCTATAGACCTAAGCAAAAAAATATAATCATATTATACAATTTATGGCAATATTTTTATTTAACATTTTTTTTATTTCAATAATTTTCAGTTATATCAACTTATTAAATCGATAAATTATTATATTTTAATTTAATTTGTGCTATTCATAAATAATTTTATTTTTATTTTATTTGTTATGCATGCTCACTAATAAAACTCATTATCTAACTAACATTTTTATTCCGTTAAAAATTAAGAATACTTTAATAGTTTTTATGTTTCTTTAACTTTTTAAATTATATTTTCTATGTACAATTTTAAATTAAAATTTAAACCCCTCCTTACCTTGGTTTGTATCTAACTTGACGCTTAACTCTGGCCTAAAAATTGAATCATTTGACCAACTAGTAACCAAACCAAACCTTACTGATCTTTTTATTCCAAAGCACGTTCCCATACAAACCCATTAGTATCGCAAATCTCACCCTATACTCAACTCTTAAATCCCACCAATCGACTTAAGATAAAATCAGAAATTTACTAACCTAAAGAATATATCACGTTGGGTTCCATCACTGGTTGGCCTACCACTTCGTATCATATTTGCTCATTGGGCTATTCTAACACAGATTGTATATTCTTTATAAAAAAAATTTAAACTTGACAAATTGTTGATTATTTATTTAATTTATTATGGACATTTGTCATGATCAAATATTGTCATAATTAATATGATATTTTGTTAAGTATTTTAATTGTTTTCTTGTTTTTTTTTTCAGTTGACATAATATATTTCCATTCTTATGATAATGCTTTCTTGAGAAATACAAATTAAATATAGAACGTCATAACCAATTTAAAACTGTAAATTGTAAACTACTTGTTAATTTGTATTTATATATATATTTATTTTTTCTTTTAACCTAAATTTGTTTAGTGTCATTTGTCTTATTCCTAAGTTATCTATCTGTTATAGTTTTAGTTATTATTACTATTATCATTATTATTATCGTTACCTAGTATTTATATGACACTACTATAAAGTAGTTACAAAGGCTCCTAATTTTCTTTACCTTTTGTTGTTTCGTTTTATATTATTTTATATGGCAGATGCTCAAAGAATTTAATAGTGACTGACTCGTGTTCATTATTATACATTTTTAAAAAAATTTTTTTGTAATATTTTAATAAAGTTATTAACAAATCCAAAAATATATTTTTATAACATCGCAAATAACATTTTTTCAATATACCACTGTAACAGGCGGTAAAAATTATTAACAATTTAAAAAAAAAAAAACATTTTTTATTAGTGCCATGAGTTTTCCCAATGTCAACATGAAATGATCTTAAAATTATATGTTACCACAATATCATCCTTTCCATACATAATTTTAAATATACTCTATTACTATATTAGATTTGTAACATGTTAGTAATAAATATAATTAACTATTTTGTATCTTTAAAAATTTGATAATATATTTATATATATATACTATAAGTGTGTGTGTGTATGTGAGTATTTATATATACAATATATTATATATAAGTGTTCTATAATTTATAATTTTCCCTTATTATATTGAGCATTTTAATACAAAATGAATTAATAATTCATGTCCAATGATTTTTATAAAATATAAATACATATTATTTTATTTTTAATTATTATTTTAATATAACTATTATTATTTGTTTATTATTATTTTATTTTTATTTTTTTTTATGTGAAGACTGAAAAGCAAAACATTAAATGTTATAATATTAGTTTAATGTGTGTCAAAACATAATTTTTAAATTACATTGTTTTCTATATTGCTTCTATTGATTTGTACGTGTCACAATATTATTTAATATCAAATACATTCTATATATATTCAATATTCATATATTATACACAATAATAAATTGCATTCTTTTATATCCTTTACCGCTAGCACTATTCATATAACATTAATACAAAACAAAATACTCAGTAAAAACAAACAAATAATTAATTTTTAATGGTTATATTTTCATTAAATCAAACAAATTGGTGTAAATTACATAACTCAATTTTTTCCTACCACAGAGTAGTCCACAAATGTTAAATGTTTATAAATAATTGAAATGTATTTTATATCATTATGGACAACTATTTTAATATATATATTTGTTAGTCTTTTGGAAATTGATCACATATGCAGTGTTGTACTTCTATAGAAATGAATTTACTTCCAAAACAATAAATAAAAACAACTTCCTTTTATTCTTAGTATAGTTATTATGTGAAAGTAATATATTTTGTTAGTTGTGTACATAAAATCATCGTTAGCATTTTAAGTATCGACCATACTACCACTTAATATTAATTTGTCAAGTCTGTGTAGGTCTGTATATTTGTAGGGTGTTTAAATCTGAACAATAGCAAATAAGTATTTTATGTTTTTATACAACTTAATATTAATTAATATGGCTACCTTAAAATTTATATTTTACTTATTGGAATTATATCACTTGTATTTATTAATTTATTTATATATTTTAAATTAAAATCAAAACAGCAGTATAAAGAGGTAGAAAATTAGTTACTTCGGGACTTGGGTATAATATAATTAGCGTATAAACACTAAAACCTACAACGTCTCACTCGTGTACACTCTCCTACATTGAATTTGGCCAGCACTGTTAACTTAAACCTTGAGGTGAGACGGTGAGGTACAAACTACAATGGCATAGAGTAATTATTATACGTCTGTTCCTTTTAAGGCCTCATCAACTCTATGATACATATACGGTATACTCCGGCCCAGTTCAGTTCTTAGAAAAGATGTCATCGACATTTTGATATTTATACACCAGCAATATTCAGTCTTCTAAGGTTAGGTCGTAAGGAAAAAAAAAGTTAAATATAATTTATAGTCAGAAACACTTGTATTATATTAAAACTAACATGACTTAGTTTCAATCACCTATGTACGTATAATAACCGTTTGCCTTCTCCTTGTACAATCATTTTGTGCACTTCTGCTGAACTCTACGACAGCACCGGCTCTCTTTTCACACTGTGGTGGCGTTCAATAACAATCAAATTTGTCGCCCCAGCATATTTTGCTCTTTGGAATCAACTCATGTTAGTGACCTACATTCTAAATTATATTATAAATATTATACAAAAATACATAATATATTATATTATTCCCTCCTGAATGCAGAAAGAATGCTCTACGACTACACAATTATATATGAAATTCTTAGTCTAGATCAAAACGCTATCCATAATTTAATTAAGTTTCTAATAAAATCTAATACGTACAACAAAATTGAAAATTTGAACTTTAGTTTAAACATTGTAATATATATATATATCAAAAATTAGTTCTACCACAGACTGTCCCCCCAAATAATTTATCTCAGAGTACGCCTACGGTTAAAAAGCATTCAGATGTACTAAATTAGATCGTGACCAGTTCTAAACTATGGTCCAATTCTACTTGCTTCAATAGGCTATACCTGAAGGATGCCACTAAATTGCCTACCCATAGCGCCGTCTTAATAAGTTAAGACTAAAATAATATTACTTATTTATTATCGTCATTGTGTTTTAAGATATCGTCGATGTTTAAATTAAGTCATCTAAGTTTTTTAATATATTTAATTTCATTTAAGTCCAGGCTCTCCAATGAAAACCATAATGGTGTGCAAAGTTTAACTTCAGCTCTTTGGCTCGCAAGGAGCTTGGTCTAATACCTATTCGATTTCAGTCGAATAACTGCATTTCTCTAGCACTCACAATACACAATGTTCAGTGTTTATAATGTATCACAATGTTTTGTTGTTTATTTTATGGAAAAATGCAGTGGCTTATATCACTCAAGTTATTCCTGATATTCTTCAAAATATATTGACAATATTGTATAATACACTTAAGAGGACGTGGCGGCTGTATGTGTTATCTCCTTTCTACTAACATACAAAATTGCAAGCAAATTTTACGTTAAGAATAATCCATTTTACTCTGTTATTTTTAAAATTAGAGTGAAAAGAGTATTTTTTGTAGATGAATAGTTGTCACTCGGGTAGATGAGGTAAAAGCATCAAATTCTCGTACATCGCCTCAAATGAACAAATTAAATCTTAAAAAAGCAATTATGAGAGTTTATTTATAAAATTGTCCTCTTATACCTATGTTTGTTGCCTAAATAGAATTGAGACTCAACAACTACTCAACCGATTTGGACGAAAATTTCAAAGATTGTCCTTAGAGATATCAAGAAAGTTTTAGAGAATAGCCAGTTTAGGTGGCTGAAACCACGTTTAAAATAATAAATTGAAATATATCAACATATGTAATATCTTATAAAATGAGGTGAACTAAAACCGAGATACGCATTGTATTTTATATGAATTGTTCATTTTTTTCCAGACGAAGTCGGGTTAATACTTTATTATATACTCTCATCATTAATGCATATTTTGATCAATACCATTTTGGAAGTTGACTGTTAGCAATTTATTATTTTCAATTATTTTGATTTTGTTTTCAGTTACTTTGAAATAGAATACTTAACTTAATCATAGTATTCTAGACAGAAAAGTAAACATGATCGACTGTCATGCGCACATGATAAAGGAATTTATTAATATTTTATTGCCTAATGCGATTAATAACTGCAGGTGTTGATAAATTGTATTCCTAATAAATGTTGTGGGAGTAAGGCGTAATCATAACGCCGAATGCCACTAAACCGAATACTCAAAAGCCAACTCAATCTGAATTTAATATATCGATTTAAATATAAATAAATCAGTTGTTTACAAGTTAAATGTATACATTGTATTGTATTAGGTGATAAATATTTAAGTACATGCCAACAATACAATGTTATGAGTTAAACGCAAAAATCTAATGTTCTATCAGAATCAGAATTCATATAACAAAGTATTGTCAGGTACCTATCTGGGATTTTAGCGCTTTTCTATTTATTTTTGACGTAACTATCTGGTTTTGACGCTTATGCCTTCCGCCGCAAGATTATTTTAACTACATGTTCAAGAAATTCTTTACTTATTGTAACCGGTGCCTATTTCCCCTTGGAATTAAGATCAGTAAAAAAAAGAAAATTCGTTCTCACTTTGGTTACAAACCGGTCACTCTTTTTTGTGACCTACCTATATATTCAAATTATAGTCGATTACAATCAATTGATAATCCCATCTATGACTATTTACTTTCAATCATAGACATAGTACAATAGTTCTACTGTAGACATTTATTTTTATTATGCAGACTTAGCGCTAACGCGTACCTCACGTAGTCTAAATGACGCCTCTCGGCCCTAATACCTGTTATACCCACCTTTGTACATCGTGTTTTGTGTGCGCTATTATAATAGGTATTAGTACACTATTCTTTGGAACAACATAAATAATAGGTATAAAAGTGCCATGCGCATATTATGATACTTATTTATACATACTATTTGAAATGTTCAACGAAACACGCGGTTGTTTATACGATATACCAGTGGTCCATAATTTTATTGTATTTTATTACATATTATAGCAATGATGATACCCACTTACTGTTGAAAACTGCAAAATAGTATTCAACACGCACACCGGTATCGCAATACGCCGCCGAGTTTGCACAATAAAAATAAAAAATCCTTGGTGGTCGTTGATTATAGTAGGTATTCATTTATAATACTACGAGTGTATTATATATATATATAAACAATAATAATGTATAATAAGTAATAACACTGTTCAGCGTCGGGTGCAAGGATGCGTTACAGACTGTATTTTTATACGTCATCGATGTGCTAAGTCAACAAAACGATACATATTGTAAATATTAAAACATCATTCGCATGTCCATATAATATCTTATACACTAGAAATATTTTTTACTCCGCCTATATATGCACGCTGGTACTCAGGTTCTACACGTAGATATCACATTATGTTTCTTCATAATGTATGGGAAATAACATGTCGATTCAGAGATGTATTTATAATAGGTAGTTTATAATCAGAATGATTGTCGAGACATAGTTCTTCAGCTTTTCTTTCATCGGTGAATTTCAATTATTTGAAAGCAAGGTGTATAAAAGAACTAACCTACAGTTATTCATTTTTTAATAACAACCAAAAACAACATCGATATTGTCAGCAAACGGGTTTTGAGTAAATATTCCCGTTTTCTCTAATAATTTGTTGTTTTTTTTTCTCGATTATTTTGTTAAAATAACTGGGCATTTTTTCTTTTGACCTCACGAAGTTACAACTATAAATACAATTCCATACCCGAAACCCATCCCAAAGTTGAAAAATGAATATTGATGCATTTTTACTGTTCCAAAAGCCAAAAGGTGACAGATACAAAATAAATAAAACACACACACCATGTAAGACCAACGCATTATAATATTTAACGGTTCATTCAGAT